TTGCAGAATCCAGCACAGAATTTAGGTTAACTTTGTGCAGAATTCTGATCCTTTCTCCTCCCTTGGTAGCTCAGAATATACACAGACTGGCTATTTCCATCCTAAGTAGCGAGAGAAAGCTTTCTTCGCCTTGGGGCTCAAACTATTCCTGCTCATGGATGAGAATAATCCATGCTCCCCAACCGATGTTTGCAGCCCGAAGTCAAACCAATGTGCTGCATTCTTTTAGATCCTGCTTTTCCGCACAAGGCACGCAAGAAGGGTGCACCGTGAAGCAAACTAAAAACACCAGCTTTTAAGAAACAAAACATCAAATTAATTAAAACCCCAATTAGACGCAGAACGACCCTGGCCACTGGGCTTGTCCACATTCCTCTGCTATGGCTGTGAGTACCACAGTTGCATAAGATCACATACAGGAAAGGGAACTTCCACACACCCCTATACAGGGTCTTCCGCAGAATAGATAGTGTGGGCAAAGATGTCTGCCTGATCTTTAGCCAGCGTGGTGTTGTGGTGAAGAGTGTCAAATTAGTATCAGGAAGACCCAGGTTCGAATCCCCACTTGGGTAACGGAAGCTCAATGGGTGGCCTTGGGCCAGTCACGGGTGCATTCAGACGCGCAGTTTGATCTGGTGTCGTGACAGTTCAGCAACGGATTTTATCTGCATGATCACACAGTCAGCATCTGCCTCCCGTCCCCAGCCGTTGGTTTCCGGCTCAAAACTGCTTTAACCCGGAGTATTTCGTTACCAGGTCCCAAAGTGGTGTTTTCTCAGCTCTCCCATTTAAAGCCGCATTTCCCCCCGTGTGATCGCTCCTCCGGTGTCAAGCCACTTCCGGTTTAAACCCCCTTCCCGCTCGAAAGCTGCCTGAGGCTTCCGCTTTTCGCCCGCCTTTTTTTTTTTTAGCATCGGCGGTGCGCACAAAGGTGGAGCTCCGCTACTGTGTTTAGAAAACCGACATTTAAACGGCCACTTGTTTTAGAGTTTAGATGAGTTTGGGATCTCACAGAGGCCATTTGCGGGTCAAACGTTTCAAGGGAAGTCTTTTGTTGGAGGGGTTGGATTGATTCGCCCTGGTGGTTCTGCGCATGCGCCATGGTAGTTTCACACACACCCCATTCTTTGCACATGCGCAAACTGAGGGGGGGAAAACCCGCCAACACACTCCCGCGTGTTGGTAGTGTAGACGCCAGGGAGTGACGTGATTGCACGGTGAGGCGGGAGCGAGGCGGTAAATGTGATCGCGATTATCCAGATCAAGTATAATCCGGTTAGAACCGGAGCAGTTTAACCCGCTCTCAGCACGCCGTCTGACCGCACCCACTACTCTCAGTCTAACCTACCTCACAGGATTGTTGTGAGGGTAAAATGGAGGAGAGAATAAAGTAAGCTGCTTTGGGGGGGGAGTTGGGGTACAAATATATCAAATAAATTAATCAAGTAAATAAAGTTTGCTAAGGGCTACCGACGTGCTCTCCAGTGACGATGCAGCTTTGTTGTGTTTATTGTTTTTGTTGATGTGTTTTTTATTATCGTCATGTTGGTTGTTAAAGTTGTTCTGTTTATTATTGTTGTGTTGGTTGCTGCTGTTATTGTTGTATGAATATTGTTTTTCATATTCTTTTTTTTTTTAATCTGCCCTCAAGGGGCAGAATTTTATTTGTTTTTTCATAACAGACAAACCAAACAAACACACATGTAACACAAACGGGGGTATCAAATGCTTAAGTTTCCATTAATTGCCTCTTAGATATTCTCTATCTAATACAATATCACGTATCATTATTTTCTATGAGCTCACATTTTTGTATCTTAAAATCAACATCTGTACCTGCTATCTCAATATTCTAACCTATACTTTGCTCTAGGGATTACATTTTTAGGTTACAATCAGTTGCGCTATTATACCAATTATAGAAGCGCCTCCATGTGTTCTGGAATTTATAGTTTGTGGATCCTCTTATCAATAAAGTCAGTTTATCACTTTCCGCTGTTTCCATCAGTTTTTGTATATATTCCTGCTTTTTTGGTACATCTTGTGTCTTCTAGTATTTGACATATAGCATTCTTGCCGCTGTAGTAAAGTAAATAATTAAATATCTATTGCTTTTTTCAAAGTGTTTAGGTAGTATACTCAGTAGCATTACTTCAGGCATAAATGGAATTGTACATCCCAATATCTTCTGCATTACTGCATGAATCCATCTCCAGTATCTCTTAGTTACATCACAATGCCACCATATATGATAAAAGGATCCTGTACTAGATAAACACTTCCAACATTTGTTAGAACACTTACTATTCCCTTTAGCTATTCTATCAGGTGTTATATACCATCTGTAAAACATCTTATACATATTTCTTTAAATGCAATAGCTTTCGTTATCTTAATGTTCTCTTTCCGTATTTGTTCCCATTGTTCTAATGCAATATTATGACTCACATTCTGTGCCCATAAGATCATATTAGGTTTTTCATATTCTGAAATCTGCCCTGAGTCTCCATACGAAACTCAGGATATAAATGAAGATGGCAGTAATAATAGTAATACATAATAACGAGAACAAAAATAATAAAAATGAAGAACAGGAAGGAGAAGATGATGAAGCAGAAGAAAATAAGAACGTAAGAAGAGCCCTGCTGGATCAGGCCCAACAGTCCACCTCATCCAGCGTCCTGTCTCAAGGAGCGGCCAACCAGTTCCTCTGGACAGCCGAAAACAGAGTAGAGAGGCTGAGGCCTTCCCCTGATGTTGCCTCCTGGCTCTGGGATTCAGAGATTTAATGCCTCTGAATGTGGAGATCCCCCTTAGTCTCCACGGCTAGTCGCCACTGATAGAACTCTCCTCCGTGAATCTATCTAGTCCCCTTTTAAAGCTGTTTATTCCTGTGGCCATCACGACATCCTCCGGGAGTGAATCCCACATTTTAATCACCCTCTGTGTACAGACGTATTTCCTTTTGTCCGTCCTGAACCTCCTGCCCATCAGCTTCACTGGATGCCCTCAAGTTCTAGTCTTTTGGGAGAGGGAGAAAAAGTTCTCTTTGTCAATTCTCCCCGCCTGGTGCATAATTTTATAAACCTCCATCATGTCCTCCTGTAATGTATCCAGTTCTGACCACGTGGCCGACTGGGGCTCCACGCGGTCAAGCGAAACCGTCGAGCTTCGCTCCAGGAAACAATGGACTGAGCGGATCCTAGCCCGCACCTATCCGAGGGCTAGGTTCCTGGCCGAGAGCCTATGGAACTCTCAGCCACTGTAAATAGCCTATTGCGGCGTGGGGGGGTGTTTTGGGTGGTGGTTTCACGGGGGATATAAGCCGGCCTGCGAGCCGGCTAAAGTTGTCTTGTTCCTCGCGAATAAAAGTACGTTAGCTGAAATCACTCGCCTGTCTGCGTACTTTTCACCTCCATTAGTCTCTCTTTTCTAAATTGAAAAGTCCCGGACTCTTCAGTCATTCCTCCTAAGGAAGGCGCTCCAACCCCCTCATCATCTCGGTCGCCCTTCTCTGTACTTTCTCCAGCTCTGCCAATGTCTAAACGAAGGCGAAGACAATGCAGCAACAGCAGTCCTGGGACTGCTAGTTGCTTGTCGTTTCTGTTAAGCCTCCAACGCCTTCTCCTTCAAAGGGGAGGAGAAAAAAAACCCTGACCCTTTGAAAAGGCTGCCCCGAACACCCCATCACCGAGAGACGTGCGAGAACATCAGAAACGCAACAGACCCTCCGGCTGGATTTCTATGGCAGGGTCACCTTTCATCACGGCGGAAACAAGCGCTGAGCCGAAATCCAACCTCTCTTTTTAGCCGGCAATTAGGAATCTGTTTCCGAAGCCAGCGCCTGACCCTGGAAGGAAGGAGGCGCCCACGACTCCAAACATGGGGTTGCCCCCGGAAGACAGCAACCCCTGACTTTGATCCCCCCCCTTTTCTCCCCACACAACACAGTACATAATGTCGCAAGTTTCAGGAACTCCGGGGGGGGGGGCAGGGACTGGGGTTGTAAGCTGCAGGGGCAAATCCACATTCCCCATGCAATTTGCTGTGGGCGCTCCTGTATCGCATCCTAGGCAGGTGTGCGTTTTCGTCCCCCCCTTTGCTCTTATACCTTGCCTGGAGAGCAGAATATCAGAAATGCATGCGCAGCCCTCACCTGGATAGCCCAGGCAAGCCCCATCTCGTCAGATCTTGGAAGCTAAGCAGGGTCGGCTCTGGCAAGTAGTTGGATGGGAGACCTCCTTGGAATACCAGAGGCGGGAGGGCGGGGGCAGGCTTTATTCAGCCACCTCTCTGAATATCCTCCAGGCCCCCAGTAGGGGTCAGTCACCAGAGGTCTCCATGACTTCCAGGCACAGACATACACACGCACACATGCACATACACAAAAAAAGCAAAAACATCCCCAAAAGATGCACGTGCAGAGCAATACTCCCGCTAAGCTGTGGAGTCTTGTGAGCAGACATTCTACTTTGCGAGCTACTGGCATTAAAGTTCTGTCTTCTGCATAAAGTAGTTTGTTCTGGAGCCGTCCTTCCTGAGCCTAGACAAAAATCTGTGAGCGAGAAGCTAAACAACTGTGAGCTAGCTCACACTAATTCAGCTTAGAGGGAACACTGGTGCAGAGCGCCTCTTTTGCGATGCTGACAAGAGAAGAAACGATCAAAGATCTGGGATTAAGGATTCTGCAGCCAAGGAGTCAGGCTAGCCCTGAAGTGAAACCTTCCAAATGAACACAGGAAGCTGCCTTATCCCAGGTGAGACCATCGGTCCCTTTGGGCCGGTGCTGATCATGCTGACTGGCAGTGGCTTCCCAGGATTCCTAGGAAGGATCGCCATCGGTCCCTTTGGGCCGGTGCTGATCACTCTGACTGGTAGTGGCTTCTTAGCCCTGCTAAGCGAAAACGACGAGGCACTGAAATCGGGCCCCTCCGCAAACATCCTGCGCTCTTCGGCTGAGCGGAGAGATACGGTACACAGAGAGACACGGCGGAACTAACCATTGTGGTCAAGATGTACTTGTAGAAGGCAGACGTCATCCCCAGCTCCGAGGCCTGCAAAAGGAAGATCGGAAGGAGAATCAGTTTTCCCACAGGATACGCCCGCCCCGGCCCCGCGAGCCCCTTTAGCAGCAATCACAAAAGCAACATTCAGAGATTCACGTTTACGGCAGAACTCAAACAGCGGTAGAATTTGGGTTCCGGCACAAGAGCCAAAGCCCTCTCCCTGGAAGAGAATCAACTTCCAGTGAGACCAGACAGAGTCCAGCCGTCTTCCAGACGTGGGTCATCCCAGACGCCAGTATCGGATTCATGGGGTTGCAGTCGTGTGACCTCAAGGCCAGGAACACAGGCAACGGACCCAGATGGCCGGGGAAAGGGATCACAAGCTGTCATGACCCTAGGCCTATAGTAGTGCGGCCTACGGGCTCTAGGGAGGCCTAGTGGCTCCAGGGAAGCCTGCACTTGAGTAGCTATCAGGGACAGCGCTGGCTCTTCGGCTTTGAAACGGAGATGAGCACCGCAACCCTAGAGTCGGATTCGACTGGCTTTCGAGCAAGGGAACCTTTACCTTTACCTTTACAAGAGCCAAAGCCCTCTCCCTGGAAGAGAATCAACTTCCAGTGAGACCAGACAGAGTCCAGTCGTCTTCCAGACGTGGGTCATCCCAGACCCCAGTATCAGATTCATGGGGTTGCAGTTGTGTGACCTCAAGGCCAGGAACACAGGCAGCGGACCCAGATGGCCAGGGAAAGGGATCACAAGCTGTCATAACCCTAGGCCTATAGTAGTGCGGCCTACGGGCTCTAAGGAGGCCTAGTGGCTCCAGGGAAGCCTGCACTTGAGTAGCTATCAGGGCCTACATTTCCCAGGTCACCCTCTGGACCCTGTGATTGGCTAACAGGGGATTTGGAGGGAAAACGTACACCAGTAGAGGAGTAGGGGGCGGTGCCTGGGAAGAACGTATAAAAGGCCTTGCCCAAAGTGGCGGGGGGGGGGCCGCCTCGGACGACCAGGCGTGGAAA